GGAAAGGAAGAAGAAAGTCCACTCCAACTTAATAAGCTATCTGCTTTACACTGAGAAGCCTAATATTTTGGAAACTGTCAAGAAAGTCTGTATCAAAATTAAGGAAACAGACTGCAGTGGTTACATGGAGGCTTTTGGGGAGGAGTGAGGAAGGACAGACATGTTACCTCTTTTCTCGCAGTTGTCGGGGAAGAGACATGCCTTCAGCTTCTTAAATCCAGAAGGCACGTTGAGCTGCTATCCCTCCTCTTCTCAAGCAGTGTGCAGTGGAATGGGATGACCCAGTCACTGCATTCTCCCTGAGAGAATCAAGGCTCCTTCCCAAGGCATCAGAAATCTCTCACTGTTTCAGTGTCATCCTGTGTCTTCTGTACTTCCCCACCCCCACCAGACTGAGGAAGTACTAAAGAAAGAAAACAGTCATAAAGAAAGGCTGGTTTCAGATGTCTGTTACATATCGAAACTGCCACAATTGAGAAACCAAAAGCCTAACGAAAAGCTGAAACTGAGACATATATTCTGCTGCACAACTCTTCACAGAAAGATCTGCCTCTGTGAAATGAAATCCTATTATATCAAAATGTTTTATATCCATATCACACAGGTATACATGACTGCAAAGCATGCATGGCAGCAGAAATTCAGGCCCAGCAAAAGTCTCACATAAAACTGTCCATAGAGTTGAATGTCCCTAAGATTTAAGATGGTAAGCGTGAGTCCTATCCTATCACTTCCTGTCTTAACATTATGACACATCACTAGAAAAACACCTAACCTAGAGTTTATGGATATCCATGTGAAGTTAAATGGGAGCAGGCTAAAGAAACTTTGTTCTGACCCAGATATAGTGATTCTGAACATACCAGTATACTAATCTTTGTAAACTAGATTGATACCTTTGATCCTTTCTTCAGACTCTGTGGATGCAGAGCCAGGAGATGGAGCTAAAGAATAATTTTTCCAGTGGGGAGCAGGAGGGACAGTCATGAAATTCAGCTTTGTCAAATATATGGGTAGCAGGGAATTAGGCAAAAAAGGTTAGGAAGTGAGCTGAAGGATGGATCAATGCAGGGAAGACATGAGTCTTTGAAAAATCAGAGCTCTTTTCAGCTTTGTATGCTCAAAACCATCCACATTTATCAGCTACAAAGACAAGATTATGGTTCACCCAAGCACAGTGCCAACCACCCTACCTTTTGCAAAGGTAGAGGTATAGCATTTGTACATAACATCAGTTGACAGTTTTTGGAGAAGAAAATAATAGGAAGAAAGTCATTAGGAAACTGACATTTCCTAATCTTGTGGCTAAATTGCAGCATATTCTACCTGCTTTAGACAAAAACCTATCATGTACAATATCTTTGCTGCTATATTTCAGTCTTTGATTGTCTTCCATTTTCACATTCAGTACATGTTTGGTTCCTTTTCATCCATCTGCAGTCAAAGAAATAGTCACATTCAGATGTATGAAAAGTCAACTGGCATCTTTCAGAATAGAAACCTATTTACAAATGCAATCTTCAGACTTGAGAATAAACTACATTTCATTGCATTTTCCTGAAATAAACTCATCACTCAGCTCTTTCCTGCATATGATGGAATGCACCATTACAGAATTTGAGAGAGGTTATACTGTATGTTGCGGGAGAAACTACAGAATTCTGTGCTGTGTTTTCTGAATTATTTTTTATGCTGTGCTGCCCACACAGACTTAGCAGAGTAGTTTAAGATGGAGTGATGTTGGATGTAAGTATCTTTCCAGACCTTCAGGCTCTGCTGCATATTCTATTTTCCTTATTAGGCCTGCTGGACGTGCAGCCTTCACGTAACCTGAAGGCATACTCATTAGTCTTTTCCTTTCCCCTTGAATGAGAGCAACCATAATCGAGTTTTGTAACTGCAATCCTCTTGCTTCCTCCTGAAATCCAAAAGGAAATGAGACCAGATTACTTTGAGCAGAACTCTTAATCACAAGATCAATGTATGCAAACTCACAAAAATTCAGAGGGACCCTTCTGGAACATGCACAATCATGGAACATGCACAATGGCACAAAAAGCAAGCAATCTGTCATAGATATGAAAGTGAAAGGTGGGAGGTACACTTTTAAAATAACTATTTATGTTGGATTTATGCCATAGTTTGACAAGAAAAGTCATAAAATGTATATTTTATTTTCTTCACATCTCTTGCAAGACGGGCTAGATATGATGCAGATATACCTTCTAGGAGATGGATAATATGACATAACCCAAAAATACTTGCTCATTGTTTATTTGGAGACAAGGCATTCCAAGAAGAGATTGACATCACAGACAAATCGTCTATGCAACTGATCTCCTGTAACAACAAAGTAAAAAAAGACAAACTTAGAGTAGCTCAATTCTACTACTCTCTACTACAGATTGTAGCCAGTAATAATTCTAACCTGACAGACTAATACAAATATTTTCTCATTCTGAGCTGCAACAAAACCAAGACCTTCTTTTCTGAGGAAAAGACAGACACCTGCCTCAAAAGAGTGGATAGTTTGTTATTTAAAGGGCTCATCAAGTCTGTGGGTGTCTAAGACTCGACACATTGCTTTATCTTGTTCTTCTCTGTCAAATCAGTGCCTGTTCTGTGCTGGCTCTTCTCTCTAAATCTCTACAGCTGTGCTCTTCCACTCTGATACAAAACTTAAATCTGAGTGTTCCTCTATATCATATGAGAGCCAGGGCCTCAGTTTTGGTCTGTAGATGTAGTCACATTCACATTCTCCTGCAGCTACAATAATCATGTTACTAGGATAAATGAGATAGATAAACATCTATTATAAAATCAGTACCATATTGACAGTATCACAGAATCACGGAGACACAGAATCACAGAACAGCTGAGGTTGGAAGATACCTTTAGTGAACATCTAGCACTGAAGTAGGATGACCTAGAGCAGGTTGCCCAGGACTCTACCTAGATAGCTTTCAGATATCTCCAAGGATGAAACTCCACAGTCTCTCTGAACAACCTCTTCCAAATCTTATCCTTATGCAAGAGAAAACAAACATCTAGATGCACAAAATACTAATAATAAATAAATTAAATGAGACTATTAAAAAAAAAACCCAGATGAATGTATGCTGATATCATTACATACATTTGACCTCTGTAGAGCCTGCCATATTATTTTGGGTCTGCATGCCTGTGAGCTCTAATGTTGCAACCTTTTGTCTAATGCACATGTTGTTAGAAAATATTACATTAGAAAATAAATGTGTACCTAAGCACCTTGCAAAGTATTAGTAAAACCAAACAGCCAGAGCAAACATGGCATGTGAATGAAAAATGAGAATAGAGTCCCAGACCACTAAGACACACACAACTCAAAGGGTAAATAAAAGGAACTTAGCAAAAATACTCAGCTGATTCGGGTATGATGACAACACTAGATATCATGATTACAAGTGCTGTAGCTACCATATGCTTTTTTTCTGTGTATGCCTGTGAGTTCTACAATTATGGCTTCTTTCTGATGCGTCTCTTAGAAAAGTACTGTGTCATTCTATTCAGTCACTGGCTATACAATTAATGTGCAAAATGACAGACAATGTGGACAAAACTACTATTCCTAGAATATAGCTGGTCTCAAACAGAAAGTATCAGATAGAAACACACACAGCCCGTTTGGCTTGCAGGATACTTTCATTCAATCTACTGTCTTCAAAGAATATGTGGAATATTTCTTTCTGCATTTGTTTGTGTGGACATGCAGTTGAGTGTCTTCTACAACTGTAGTGACTTGAGGTTGAACTGCAAGTGATACACACACTCTTTTAGAAAAGGTGATTTGGCTATATCCCATTTTCTATCAGTATTACATTATTTCACAGATTTTGCTTTTATGGCTATTGTCAGCTTTAGAGAGTGCTTTGGTACATAGTTGCATTTTTTTTTCAAATATTGTCATACTTAGATCATTATTATTATTATTATTATTCGGACACTGAATTATGGCTCTGTAAAATTTTTTGATAGAAAATGTGTAAGAAAAACTACTCATGTGTTTCCTGCAATTCTTTGTGAAATAGTCCGTGATCTTTTGCAGGGAGTACTATAAAAGTTTAGGAGGCAGTTTGTCCAATAATAAACAACAAGACTCTTTCTTTTTCTTCTTTGAGGATATCCGAAAATAGATTCATGAAAAATAATCAATGTTTTTAAAGAAGTTTGTGAACTTCTAAAAAATAACAAAGAACTGATAAGTTGTTCTGAGTGTTTTTATATTGTTCATTACAAAATGGTTCAATCTATATAGGTTGAGTGCATAGACACTCTCCCACGCCACTTTGCGGTGGGGAGGACAGTAAAAGGCAAAGGAATGTAAACAAATAAAACTTTGGAAATTTGTTTTGATTTAAACTTGGGCAAATTTTACATGACTGATTGTTTACCTTTTCTCTTTAAAAGGAGAAATACTACTAGGAATTTGTAGAAAAGGACAATGATCATGTTCTGTTGACATAACCACAATTAAAAAGTCCATCTTGAATAAAAGCCAGTAGCTACCTCTGTTCCTGACATTAAATCTGATATTATTTATAGAATAATACACTATTCAATGTGAAGAGGCTTTACTGAATTATATACTAAAGAAACAGTGGATTTTTTAATAGCACTTTTCTTGGAACAACAAACTAAATCACACCACTAAATATTGGCTTTTGCTGCTTTATTGCTTGAACAAAATGATTCATGAAGAGATCGATATTGCAGGAAAAAAGAATACTTTTAAAAGCAAGATTCAGGGTTTTTTTTTTTAGTCACTATCAACTATTTTGAAAATTTGCATATTACATCATCATTCTGTGTTTTGTCAGTGCAGAATTTTACAGGCAGATTTTTCCCGCTTTTCTCAGTGGGACAACATCAGAAGCAGCATTAAGGTCCTCCCTTATGGGGAAAGAAAATCTGTCTTAAGAATAGATCTGCTTCCTTTAAAAACTTAAGAAGGATACAGAATTTCTAACTGATACAGTAGGATTGTTCAAGATAGGAAGAATCAGAAGCCTTACTGTAAGAACAATGACTTCTACTCAATGAGCAATGGTTTCTGGTTTTGTTCTTGCAGAGCTCTGGTGAGTACTGATGCCCAAAACTACGTTAAGTGAGAAAAATGAAAGCTCAGAAAGAGCATCAGAAAATCTATATAATCAAATAGTCTATCACTTCCAGGTTGAAAGAGGCAAATAGGGAAGAAGTGGTGATATAGGCAGGTGGTGCTGGAAAATAGCTGTAAAAACAGGAAAGTGTTTTGAA